GAAACGATTTAGCAAAGTAATCAGTGCTATTATCGTCTGGTGGCAGGAATGATCTTCCGTAAACTTGATTTTAATGTCATAGAAATTCTAAATTCTGGAATCTACGTGTTGGTTAAGATGCTGTGATTTGTGTTTAAGTCAAAAAGAAAAAAAAATATTGTATTAATTATTGAAACACTGTTTAACCCGTTGTAACAGCCAATCATAGCTCGTATAGTATCGGTCACAGAGAATACACAGGACAATGAGATACCAGTCTAGAATTTCTCTCTCAAAAAAATACTTTGGAAATGCCACGCAGTAAAACAACTACACGTGGGGAAAATATGATGCTTCATTCAATTAATTGACAGAATTACACCCCTTTAATCTGCTTAAACAGTAGAATAGTGAGCGTTTATTGAGGTCCAAGTAGTTGCTTGGTAAGTCGGAGAAGGACAATGGAAACTATGTTTTACGATGAACCAGCTATCTTGCCAACAACCAATCGTAAATCAATGGATTCCACGGCGTTGAAGCTCAATCTATGTACAGATAAAATGCTCGATATCGGAGCTAAGAGAGACGAACTAGGATTTAGTGATTTGGCGGATTTTCTAGTTTCGCCCGACATTGGAATTTCTTCCCCGGATCTCGAGAATTTGGTTTGGAAAGAATGGAACTCTAGCATTGCAAAACCAGCCACTGAAATTTCCGATATTCACTACACCGTTAAACAAGAACCTTGTGTGACTCCTGAAACGGTGACCAAGGAACAAGAAGTTTTCGCGTTCGGGTTTACCGAGGCTTTGAAGAGACTACAAGAGACTGAACAACAAGAAAGCGAAGTTCAACCTGATGATTGTGTTGTTCCTGACTCCTCGGAATCAAGCGATTCTGCCAGCTCTGATGAAATATCTACAATTCACGACGATTGCGATGCAAAGATAACATTTATTTCATATACTTTTGATTCTAAGGAACCTCTACCGTCATTTCAAGAAGCTTTCTCAAAGATTATCCTAAGAAAATCAAATGATATTTGTTTACAAATTAAACTAGGAAAGCGAGAGGAATTTCCTAATCAAGAACAAACAACAAGCGATGGTCAACAACACTGGAACCCAACCTCAAACGAAAAAAACGAGCTTTCTGGTTTCGAATGGGATAAYGTAGAAACTGTTGATGAGGGATTTTGTTCGAGAGAAGAAATTCCAGTTAGTTTGCAAGAAGATAAATATTTAGGAGACCCGAATTTATCAATGAGTTGGGCAACAAGTGACTCTGTGGAAATGACTAGTGATTTATTCAGCGATAAAGCGAATGAGCCTTTATTAGACAATCTTTCTAGCAATACTTTTAGTAATAATTTTATAAATGATATTGAAATACTGGACCAGCAAAAACACTGGATGTCAGCATAGAACTCAATTTATATGGAACTGAAATACTGCAGTACAGACTGTTAATGAATTATTACAGAAACTAAAAAACAACAACAACTAGCTCGTTTAACATTTATATCGTGAGCTCTATCCGTTTTTGAAATTAAATCGTTTTTACCAGCCGGCGCCTGTTAGAAATGCTACAATCTTTTTCTTGTCGAATTTATCGACAAAAAATATAATATCTAATATAATATAATATAATATAATATAATATAATATAATATAATATAATATAATATAATATAATATCTAACAAAGCCATAATTATAGTAATGAACAAGACGCAAGATAAAGTTATATTTTTACGGTTAATTTTAACCTGCAAATTTGAATCAAAGTTATTTATTTGAACTTACAATTAAATTTATAGCTCTTTAGTACTCAGCCATTCTTCCGAAAGATTTCTAAAATATTTTATTAAAATGTGAATTAATAATGTCAGAATAACTCCGAAAAAATATTGTGGCTTTAATTGGAAATAATCCAGTACCTTTAAAAAATTGAAACTGATTTATTTGAAAATGAAAGAAAGTGGCCGGAGTATGCAGGTCGCACTGGAAAAAATCGTGCCCTTTAAAGGTTGTCAATTTGATGTTAATATGATGTAAGCGTCCAAAATTCTGTAAATTTAATGGAAATCCTTTACATCAAATTTACAACCTTTATTGCGCGCGATTTTTTCCAATGTCGATCAAGAAGCAGGAAGTGGTTTTCTGATTTATCTGAATTTAACTTATATGTATCTAATTATTTCAAAAAGTCTATTGCAATCAACATCGAGTGCACGGCTGTAAGGATATAATTGACATCCACCCATCTACTTTAAAACAAGCAAGGATGTCTAACCAAACAAATCATCATGGAAGATCTTCACTTAATTTAACACTGACTGCCTCTAATGAATGTGAATAATGCTATCAATAGTCGTTACCCTTACAATAATTACATGATATGTGACCACGTAGCACTAGGAAATACATACCAATAGTGAACGTTATAGTGCTTGGTCATAGTCATTTCCTTTGTATCTCAGCAACATGTATCTATAATTACTCGACTAACAAACCTTGTCTGAAATACTAGTGATACCCGTAAGGCCTAATACGAAAAACTTATAACTCGGTGAACCTGGCTTTCTTCTAAAACAGACCTTTATCACAGTGGCCACCATGATSGTTTTYGTAYTGTTATGCAAATTAGCCACGTGGTCTTCTATATAAAGAGACAACAAGGTTAGAATTGGATATTGCAAATGTTTTTGCAATACAATTTCCAGTAAACTGATTTGAAGTGAATCGTGACTTAGTCAATCACTATCTCTTAAAGGTCGGTTCCTACAACAATGTTTGGAAGAAATGATCACATCTAAAAGACACACTTTCTYTAGCATTAAGAAATATTTGAGTGTTGTCAATAAGCTGTGTCAATGAGCTGTGACCATARGGTAGATTTAGAGCCGAGTCCAAAAAGGACCTTAGCAGCTTAGGTGCCCTTTACAATGAAATCGTTCTCTTGCTAATTGCTAACGATGTTTTTAATTTTCTTTATGTTTTTTATGTGATTTTATGTTTTGTTTTGTTTTGTTTTGTTTTCTTTTTCTTTTTTTACAATAGGCTTTTTTTGATATTGTTACAAATTTACGCATGACATTGCATTCTAGACGGCCGGTACGAGAATTCTTGAGCATGTTGACAAAATGGTAAAGTTTGTAGTGAAGTTCGTCTGCACACATTGCATGGTGTTTTAGTTTACCATGAAACAAGACAATATGCAAGTTTGACAAGCTATTACATTGGATTGGACATTTACGATCAATGTGCGATTGTATTAAAGTTGTGCTTTCCTGATACAATTTCAATAATCAAAAGGCTGCTTATCATCAAAGTTTAGACTAAATCGAGCTTTATCAGACTCTTGCAAAGCAGTTTTCCTGAAGACGAAGTAAGTTTCGATCGTATACTATGATCACCGTCCCTACGTTCTTGCGATCACAGGAGCTTCGTCTGGGACACGTACGACGTAATCACAATCATAAAGCATTGGTGTCGTCAAAAACGCTCTTCCTGGATCAGTCTAAACAACTGCATCGACCCTAGTTTGCATTCGACCCTTGCCAAGTTTTCCGTTAGAGTTGTATTTATACTTTAAAGCGAATACTCCATTTTTTAATTCAAAGAGAAAAACCTCTGATTAACTTGACAACAGATTCTCTTGCGAAAAGACCTGACCAAACACAAAAGAGAGCACGAGAAAATGTCCTTACTGCAATTGCCTTGAAAATTTTTATTTTCCCAGAGTTGAGACTAATCCTGTATTTCCATAAGACCTAAAGTTTAAGTCTTCTGTGAATACAGGACTATAAGTAGCCTCAACTCGGGGAAAATTTATATATTTCGCGCTAGTGTACTTGCAACATTTTCACGTTCTTTTTTGGTGTTTGTGAGGTCTTTGACTTTGTTCAAGAAAATCTGCTGTCAAATAAAACAGAGGTTATTCGCTTTGAGTTTGAAATTGTAGTATTGATCTTGCGGTGTGTGATCTTTCTTAAAGCGCATTTCAAAGGCGACGAGACCTGGTGTCATAGTTATAACCCCGAAACAAAGATGGATTCATGGTTAAGCATGTCTCGTGTCAGTAGTTTCTAGTTCACCATTACAAATCAGAGAGAAATCTAGTTCTGGTGTCAATTTCACGGGCCGTGCGCAGTTTTTTTCGGTTCTTGTAGTGTTCTCACGCATAGCGGCTGCTTAATCAAGTGGCTTCCAAATTCACCACTAAAACACCTCTACACCAATCTCATCTAAGCAAATATTCAACTTTTTAATATTTAATTCAAAGATACCTCATATCTGACATCATGGATGCTATGATACTCTCTGAGCATGCGTGAGTAGTAAGGGTCAGTTCACTGATCACCATTAAGTGTTCGCCCACAAGAAGAGGAAGAATGACCTCGCTTACACCTCGTGAAAATACTTGAAAATGAGAAAGTTTTGTAATTAGTCCACAAGCTTCAAAATGGTCAGTTGTTTTAATTAAGGTAGGTAAATTACTGGTTATATTCAACTCCTTTTAATCAGTGTAATCAAGCGAGGATGATCCTTATTATATGTCGGGGAAAAAATGATGCTATTTTATTTTTTCTTTATTTTGCTTCCACAAAACCTGCAAATGTAATTTCAAGACGTTTGGGTTTTGTATCTCCAAGCATTAAAATAAATTCAGCCCTTCAAGTTTCTTGCTCTGTTGAATTGTTCATGTCATATGGCTGTTGCTCTGTCTAAGCACCATGAATACAAGACCTGTTTGTTTAGTGAACTTGTCTTTTAAATCAATAGCAATGTTATACCTTATCTATTCAAGCATTCTTAGATATTTATTTGTTGTATTTGTTCTTTTCTATACAACAAACAAACAAACCAGACTAAATATATGCATCGAAGACATTAAACCTATAAAACAATTAGTGTAGGTTAGCTGTCATAGTCAGATACAAAGATATCCTATAAAAACACAATCAAGGGACTATAAAAACTAGAATGGTGTATTATTTTGAAAATGAAAATGAAAATGGTTTTAGTTTGTATTATAAAGAAAACAATAGATTAACAGTGTTATGCCAACTGTGTTTCACGGCTCTATAGTGCCAGGCTCTGAGATCTCGGACGATGTTTTTTTTCACTCTCGGCCAATGGTTTTTCGTATAAATGGCTAGTGATGTGGTATAATAAAGCCTATTTGGGTTATTTTCTTTTATTGACACTTGCTTCACTTCACAGATATAGCTTTCAGTATTAAAAAGACCAATGATAAGTACAATTCTACAGTCAGGACATATTATTCAAAGTTTTTTCTTTACTCTTTTTTATGATTTTATATTGTAAGAAGTGTTTTAGTAACTTCAATCTTTTAGTACTAATTTCCTATATTTTAAAATGTTACCACGATATTTTCTCCAAACTAGTAAGCAACCTATTGGTATACTTTGATTTCAAGACATATATCTTCGTTTAATTTCCTGTTTCAAAGCTCAAAGTAACTATATTTGCTGGATTGAAATTATATCAGTAGCAATTTCAATTCGAGTGTGGAAGCCAGACCGGAGTCAATACATCACGTGATCAATGTGGCTTATTATTTAAATGCGCAGCCTGTTTCAACACGTTTACGCCTTTAATTAAAAATAATAATCAACAAAATTTACAAAACACTAACAATATTTTATGATTTCGGAAAGACCGTTTCTACAATATGGAGCATTAAACACCATTTGGGGTTCTGAGCAGTAAATATCCGATGCATATGACCGAAAAGAATCATGGTCAGTCTCAGTATTTTGCTCCAGGCTTTAATTATAAGGAAACTTACTTCCCTGGATTATTCACCAACTGTCAGCTCTATGTCATTATGTAAACGATTTTTTTTTTCAAGCAAAAGCTTAGAACTAATCTACAGTCTTCTATATCCACGAGTTTTTAAGGTCGATTTAAGCAGAGGCGTTAAAGTTGATGACCCGGTGTACGTGTGGATATTGGGGCATATTAAACTTCAAATAATATATGTTAGTTTGATCACTTATAAAGCGTATCCTTCTGTGTATGAAAGGAGCCGGCCTCTGTTGCACTAAATTAACACAGCAAGCTCTAATTGTTTGCCTTTATATAAGGTAATAATGACTTGCAATGTCTACACAGTGCTGCAGCCGAAGGTACCCGCCGCTCCTCTAGTGACCTGCTAAATTCAACCAGTTTTGATTTCAATCTATCAATCTCGTGTTAAACAACGTTGGATAGTCTAAAACACAGGAACAATACATTTTTTTCCTTCACCAAGAGTTCAAATTGAGTGAAAAGCAGTAAATTAATCACGCCGTGGCAAAGAAAACAACATGTACTCAAAGCATGTAATGTTAGCATGAGATCACTTGACTGTAGGCTTGTTTCTGTTAGACTAAACGTTGTTCAATCTACCTGACCCGACCAGCTAACCCAATAACCTCTTGATGGCAGGATAAATCAATTATATGGCCATGGMAAACTGATGGCACAACTAGCCAACGGGTAATTATGACCTTATGAAGAGAGCTGGCAAGCTAGTGACTCTTAACCACTGCCATACGTTGGATTGAAGTTGTTTTCACTCAAAACAAGTAAGATAAATAGATCAAATAATCAAGATAAACATATCAATTCAAAGACTATTTAATTCTCTATTTAGTAAGGTCTTTTCTTTTTATAATTGCTTGTTATTTGATTGTAATTGAAGTAGTTTCAAGACAAAGAAATGCTCTTTTATCTCTTTATTGTTGAAAATTTCTTTGATGTGCTTGTGTTATGTCAGTGTTTATCATATGATTTGTTTTTATTTTCGACTTTGTGTCTTCAAATAGTGATGCAGATCATTTTCCTACAATCTTTTTCCTTTAAGCATATCGAATATTCGAATACATATAACAGGCGGTGCTTTTAATTTAATTTTTTGTCATCCAAATGCATGCGCTCCTGAATTTGAGTTACTTTGCTCGAAAAATGCACTCARGCTATATCAAASGAATCTGTGGTCATCAAGCTAATTTAATTCCTTTTTGTTCATTTATTGTCAATAGTCCACCATCTTTTGAAATTAGCTGCGCTTTCCATTTGTCAGAACTGGCTGGCCAGACCCACAGAAAATGTCATTATATATCATTTCCATTTAGTTAGGAAATTCAAATTTTCAAATTCTATCCATTATATATTCTACAGAAAACCTTGAAATGACTGAAAAATGTTGACAAAAAGTATTATATACCTCTAAATAGAGTGGACTGGCCGGCCTGTTCTGCCTAAATGGAAAGCCCCCTAGGAATCATAATATGCGCCAAATCGCGCCAATATTATTAGTGTCCCAAAGATTACGCGCTCTACTTAGTCTTTATTTCATTTTTCTTTGATGGAAAATAAAAACACTCTTCAAGAAATATTACATCTTTGACTGTACCACAGTTAGTACTAACTATCATTGCAGTTCTTAACCTACAAAGCGTGATCAATAATTACGTAAGAGTAAGGGATTTTGTGTGGGTAGCTGGACTCTTTCCCAAATTTTCCTTGATTTACGCTTTGAAGATATCATTGACTTTTATGATAATATGATTTATTCACAGGGATCCTTGTAAGGGAATGCACCGTCTTTATGCATTCATTCTATTGGTTGTGTTGCAGAACGCGTCTGCGCATTCGGGTAAGTGATGACCAGCAGTTGTCAAAGAGTTGTCATTAAAAGTCAAGACGAATATTGACGTCTAGAAAAAAATGCAAAAGCGTTTTGCAAACTGTTCAAGTGATGTCTGTATTCTCAATGTCAGGGAAATTTCAAATTGAATAGAGCAATTGCAAATGATATAAAAAAAACCTCGTCTTGTACTTTTTATTTTCAGTTTAATTAGCTCAATTGTGTAAAATTTCTTTCAAAGTATTTCAAGGACATACTGAACGCACTCTTTTCAATGTATATTCAACGCAGGTTCGACGGGGGAGAMCATAGGTCGTCGCCATGGTTACACAGCAAGGGATATAATACGGGCAATYGAAAGGGAAGTCGTGCAAGAGCATTTAGGAAGTGCTGGTATGATACCGATTTAYCATGTAMTTACTAGTGTCAAACTCTTTCCAAACTTGTTTTTAATTTAATGAACAGGTAGCTCAGGATCTGCCAATGAAGAACTACATGASTCGTCAACAGATTCTACGYCAGAAGACGTCAGCGGTTTGCCATCGCACTCTCGCCCAGTCCAATCCCAATTAGATTCCACTGTTGCAGTCGCGACACGTGGTACTGGAGAAAGACCAGCCACAAACAATCATCCTCCATCTACCAATCAAGGCGAAGGATTCAGGCAACCAACTATTTACCGGGGTGAAAGTGATTATAAAGATAAAGATGATGATGATGATAATGATGATGATAATGATGATGATGAAGGCAGATCGACATCAGAAGAAGAGAGTGAGACTGAGAACAAGAGTCCCCGGATGGAATTCGCTCACAGTAAGTGCGATTTGTACTTTATTTACCCAAACAGCACAAACCTTGTGAAGAATTGATCTAGAGCATATCTAAAGCTCCTTGACCAAATATGTTTAGAATCACTTTCAAAATGGCGCAGATAAATGTGTAATGGACATTAAAATTCAAACTGACAGGATTCGTATTCTGCAAAAATATAAAAATTGTACGTCTTCGTCTTTCAAATAATAAATGCCCATAAGTGCTTCTCATTTTCTTAACAGTTGAAAAAGTAGCTGACGTCATGAAGAGGCTAAAGGAAGGTAATAGGAATAAATCAGTAAACATGTTTTGAAATATCCATTGAAGCTAAATTCGTATCAAACTCGCGTGTATATCATAAGAATCTAGTAGACATTTTCTATCTTTGGCTTGAATCTTAGCATAAATATTCCAACAGCGTCTTCTCAAAAAAGCTTAATCAAGCTTCCTGCGAGTTTCCATCGAGTTTCTTTCACTAATTTCACTTGATTAACAGCATGTTCTTTTCCATAGCAAAAACCGACGAAGAAATGGCTTCCAAGCTAAGAACAGGTACACATACGATATTTTGAAAATAATCTTCGCGCATGCGCAGTCGGACGAGTTATGTAAGCATTTCACARCTATATTTAAATCAATAAGTGAAAACGAGTGAATGCGTTTTGTATATGAAACTCCATAACTCAAGCTCTTCGGTTTCTCCTGTCTGCGCATGCTCGAGAATTTAGCGCATGCGCAAAAGCGTCAAGTTAACGTGTAATTGATTTCACTCAGGAACCGAGAGTCTTGGAGTTTCATTCAAAACGTTCGAGCAACTGAGTGACTTATGGATATCAATACTACGTAGAATATGGAGGGTGTGGAAGGCTAAAGGTAATCGAGGTGGAAGKAGAACTAGAATTCTCTTCTTGCGAGCATAATGCTTGATCGATGAATAACTCATGGAACCAATCACCAACTGCGTTATTGTTGAAAAAATAAGTGATTTTTAAAAGAGATTACCCTTTATTACACTATCGTCAGTCAAAATCTTCAAACAAACCGGCGGCCGACAAAGAACTGTAGTTGATTGGCAGCAGCCTATAGTAAATTGCCCTATTTCATTATGATACCACATCAAAACAGTTCTATTGTTTTAAATCTAAGGATTACGGTCGAGATGGGATCAAAGTGTAAATGGCTAATCATTGTTTCACGACATATATCAAAACATGATACGGCATTGAAGATCGAACTTCGGAGATTAAAATTGGTCCAAATTTCCACTGTTTTTCAACATATTTTCCCGATGTAAACATACTATGACGTTATAATGAAATAGGGAAATTGTAACTAGTTTTTACATCAATAAGTTTATGGAAGTTGTTTTAACAATTATCAATCATTGATGAGTCTTTAACTAATTTAACCAATAGGAGCCAAGCAGGTCATGCACTCGATAGTTGATGACATGGTCACTAAGACTACGCAGACAGTCGAGCCAAAGATTGGCAGCATTGTTGATCGCGGGCTCAAGTCCGCTTTAGCAAACAATGCATCTCATCCAGCAAGCCTGGTTGAAAAWCAAACTTTTGATACAAACACAACAGAAAACGCCCTGTACAATAGAGAAACTGAAAAAGGTAGGTCTTCATTGATTGATTGACTGACTCATCCACCAGCTACCTTACTTGATTTATCGATCGATTTATTGACTGATGTGATTTTACATCATGAAAATAGTTTGACATTTCACGATGTTTATCTAAATTTCAGCATATTTCACACTGAATTGAAGACACAACGGTGTAACAGAGATCGCCAAACTTAATTTTTGTTCTCTCTTTTTATGTTGTTTTGTAGTTCAAAATGTAAATAACCCTGTAAATAGTAAAAGTCGAAGAACAACAAGAAACTCAAAACCTACCTTCAAAAGTTCCAAGAACCATTTCAAGAAAACGCGTGTGACGGCACCTAAATCTAATAAAGGTATTAATTGCATAATTTCATTCCGTGGGAGAATGGGTTCAAGTTCCTTTATAATTTGCACGATGATGAGATAAGACTTGTATGGAACGGAAGATAGAACAGTAAATAACAAAATTGCAAATAATTGTTCTTCAAATTTGAACTTGACAACTGTTCAAAAATTTCAGATTTTACAAGGGAATGTAAGGGAATTAGAAAAAAATATTGACGCAGCGTTCAGTGTCCTATAAATCTCTTTGGATATTCTAGCTTTTAGCGTTTTATCTAGAGAAACACCAATATGTCCTTTCGTTTTCTGTACGTCGCAGTACACTACCATACAATTTAAGAGACTCGTACCCAGTCTCCGACGGTGTAAAATTAATTTTACAGGCTTCTGACATACATACCACTAAAATAGTAGTAGTCGGTGATTCTATTTCTATTGTTTTTGTTAAATTCCTTTTCAAACGCAATATTTCACACATGACGAAATTGAGAGAAACCACTTCATCGTTGCTGTTGTCTTTGCTGTGGTATTCAAAAATTTCTCGGGTTCAGTGACCACTAACAAATAATTCAACCGAAGTGCCAAAGTACAGTGGGTATAAAAGAAATGATGTGTGCTCAATTCACCTTGCAGTTTAAACTTTTGAAATATGAAAAAATAAATTATAAAATACGCATCGACCAGAAATTCATTATTTAAGATTCATACTGTATTTTAAAACCAAGTAGATAAAATGTTCTTTTGAATAACATGTTAAATGAGATATCATAATCCATATTCTATACAAAATACATTGCAATATCCTTATAGCTTCCAGAGGACCAATTACCACTGTTGTATCATTCATATCTGGAAAGAAACATTCCAGCAACAGCAGCTCAAGGAGAAAGTCCAAACAATCAAAGAAACGAACAACAACCACTAGCTATATGACATCTACTGCAAATAAGGAAAAAGACATCAAAACAGGACACATAAAGCATAAACTGGGAAAGATAAAAGAAAGTGAAAAAGACAAGACAAAAGACGCTGCGAGGGAGACAGATCAAAGTGAKRGTAGGAATACCAAGACTAAAACCGTCGTCGAGGGGCCTTCTCAAGGCGATTCCGTAAAAAAGGAACTGGTAGCTCAGGACCGAGAACCTATGAACTCGGCTGCGCCTGGTGTTATTGATCGAATTGGAGGTAAATACACTACACATAGAGAATAACGAATTTAACATATCAAGAAGAGCGATAATGGCRGTACGTTTGCTGTGTTATCTGATTGGAACATTAAGAAGATACATAAAGCAAAGATAGGATTATAACTAACCTAGTAACCCTGACCTRACCACTATATTTCTCCTAAAAAAAGCTGAATACCTGTACCTACTTCCTGTCAATAGTCTCTTTCACGGTTCCCTGCGCCATCTTGAAAGGTAGCCGTGCCTTAACATAGAAGTGAGACAACAGCTGAGCGTGCAATGATAGACACCTTTGAATAATTGTCTTTAGTATAAACATACTAATGGTCTATCACTCATACTGCGCTGTGATTGGCTACTCTACTAATGGTCTAATTTGTGATAGACCACTCGCGGGAAAATCAAAATGGCGGCATCTCATTAATAAATTATTTTAAGGATAATTCAATTTGTTTTCATTATCTGACCGATTAGTATGTTTATACTAAAACAATTAGACCTCTCGGCCTCGTGGACGACGAGCTAATAGCCCACTAGGCCTCGCGGACCCTGCCTCATGGGCTATTAGTCCACTCGACCTCGAGGTCTAATTGTTAAGTAGGTGTGAAAMAAGGTTCTATCACTACATGCTGAACAGTGGTCTCGCTTCGATGCAAAGGCACGGCTAACTTTCTAAATGTCGCAGGGAACCGTGAAGGAGACAATTGTGTATAGTCGCGCATAGGACAGCAATGAATGAAAGTCATTGATCTCTGCTTGCACYTTTCTTTTGATTGTACTCATTTACATCCCATTGCTTTCAATTGCCTGCTGCCACTGCCACTTTACTTTTCTTTTTTTTTCATACAGTACATCCTCACTTAGCAATATACCCCAAAAATTGATCCCGTRTAAGATAAACATGTGCTAATAAATATACATTTTCTTTTTAGAATTTCCAAGGAATGAGAATAGACGATTAGTTGACTTACAAAATAAAGTCGATCGCATTGAGAACGARCTCACTATTCTACAAACTGCGGTCGCTGGGGTCATCAATAGACTTGATGACATGGGGCGTGTAGTACAAGGTATAGGTTTAAATCATTTTTCCTAATTCACACWGATGCTTTTGTTGTTATTTTTGTTGATTTTCTGCTCCCGCTCAGTCTTTTCAACAATTCAATCTTTTGATTACTTTCCACAGAGGTTTCTAATCTAACGGAGCAAGCGGTCCTTGGACCCTATCACAAAAACCAAAAATCTTCAAATAATGAGTCACCATTGGGCGGACGTAATGCATCAGTCATAAAGATCATACTTCCACCATTYAAATCTCAGACAACAAATATAACAGGATTAAAATTAGGAATTTCTGAACCAACAGAAACTCAAGAAAAAATACCAAATGTTTCAGCACCAAATCCAAAGATTACAGAGACTGGACCTCCAGGAATTGCTCCTCCTTCCGTTGAAGAATTGTTTCCTGAAATCAAAGGAAGCTCAGGACTTCCACTTCCACAGACCCCAATATCAGTACCTAAAGATAAAGAGATKCCAACCGATATGATAGCGGTTCCAGGATCTGGAAATAGTGCTTCGCAGTTACCAGTAACTAATCTTTCTAGTGAACAAGTTGAATTACTTCCCAATGGCGGTTTACTAAATTTAACCGATAGCTTACAGGGTACTGAAGCACCAACACACGCTCCCATAGAACCATTACCAGGTTCTAATGGAATGCTAGTTAACAAGACACAAAATACAAACAATAAACATTCCGGTAAATCATCAGGAAATCATGAAAAAGATGACGACAAAACACACAACTTATATGTTACTGAATCACCAACACACACTACAATGGAACCATTACCAGGAACTGGTGGTAGAACAAATGAATCGCAAAATAAACATTCTGATGAGTTCTCAGAACATCATAATGTAGAACYAAATCCAGAGACAGGAGAATCAGGTCTTGGCAATTCGCTACCAACTCAAGAGGCAGATCAACARTCTGGTGAAGGAATGACAGGAGCTGATCAATCATATGAAGTAAACAACGAACCWTATCCAGGAATAAACTGGACACCTGGAAATTTTGCTAATGTACCTACACCAGGTACTGAAATCGAAGGACCGACACCAGAACCATCGTCCGACAAGCAAGGTCAACATCATGGGTCTCAACAAGAAGCGCCAATTCCAACCCCAGGGCAAGAAGAAGATTCTGATAACCCACTACCAACACCAGGATCAGAGCCAAATTCTGATAACGAAAGTCCAACCCCAGGAACGGAATCAGCTTCTGATAACACAGCATCAAACTCAGAATCTAACAAGTCAGGGAAGAATATGAAGGAAAACCCATCAGGGATTGATCAATCAGAAATCAGTGTCAATACTGGCCGCTTCCCGGAAGCACAATCAGACATGTTTCAGAACCAATTGCCATTCCCCATTCCTGGTCCATTTCCAGTACARTCACCCTTTGTTCCACCATATTTCATGAGATTTCAACCCGAGATGGGTATGAGACCAACACCTCATACGCCATCTTCCCCGCACCAAGTACTGATACCRGTAGGATCATTAAATGGATTCCAGCCTGATGATGATAACTCTGATTCAGAAAACTCAGATGACGCCGATGAACGTCATAATGTACATAATTATGTAAATAGAAATAGGAATGCACCTGTTTCAGCTTTCATGGCAGGTAAATATTTGAAAATAGAAAACCCTAAAGAACCAGAAGTGATAGTGAAATCCTTTGCTGAAAAAGATCGCCAGGTGAACAATGTGCGTGGTAAACAGATGATCGGCGCTTCACAAGCAAGTAAGTTGATGACAATAGGATGGCTTCATGTCATTGTGCAAAAAGATAATTTTTGACACTCTAAAAAAGTAGGTATAACAACTTATTGACGTTTCGGACGTTAATCCTTTGTTGTAGTAAAGACGAAGGATTAACGTCCGAAACTTTAGTAAGTTGTTTCACCTACTATTTAACGGTGTCTTTAGAAACAATGACGCAGCTCATACTAGTTTAACTGTAGTTTGCACCATTCCTTTTAGGCTAGATCGATGTCRAATGAATCTATCGTCATCTTGCTAACTCAAAGCTTGTTGTCGGGTTATTGATTTTGTTTTTGATTATTCTACAATATTAATCGTAAATATTCGATATCTAAGTAAGATCAGGTGAATGATACATTTTATGCGGGGACTCGTCAATTCTTTTGTGCATGACCATTCAACCAGAATATTGAAAGTAGTTCATTGCCATCATGAGAGGCAGCCGTGCATTTGCAATAGATTAGATAGTGGGCGAGATTGTAAGGTTGGATTTCATGAATAATTATCCTACACTATGTATGTAAAATGAATGTATGAATGAAAGCTCAGGCCCTACAGTTATAACTTTGCCTCAAATGATAATGCCTTGGATACTTTTCAAGATGGCTATGGAAATTGTGAAATGGAGTATTGATACTTTTCTGTATTTTAGAGTATCTACGTTGTTGATAAATTTSTTATTTGGTCGTTTGGTTATTGAAGGATTTTTTTCTTTTTTTGGAGTTTGATGTTCGGTTCTTACGTGCTCGCCGTCATACCTACAAAATATCAGTTTTGTATTAAGCTGTACATTAACTTACAGATCAAGAAACTGCATCTGATCCTGCACATGGCGCCAATGAAGARCAAAAGGTTGCCATGGATACTCCACAGGAAGACCAAAAGGCAAATGATGTCAGACCGATTATAAACATCATTGTTCCGAACTCTGAAACAGCAACCCTTCTAAGTAAAGGTGATAAACTTATGTTATTTTACGACCTACATTAACAACAATAATACCTAGATTATTGATGATGAGRACGAGCTTTTTTTAACCAGTCCCCATACCTCTAAAAAAAAACCTTCTCAAACCCCTCCCCCCCCCCCCCCCCCCCCCCCCCCCCCCCCCCTTTCACCCCTATCCCTTGTATTGGAGTTTTGGCAAAGACTCTAATTAAAATCAACATATTATACTTTGATATTAAATATATTTTCTTCGTCCATAGAAATGTGCCAACCTCCTTGTAAAAATGGTGGAAAATGTGTTGGTATCAACACTTGTAAATGCCCCACCCTTTTCCTCGGTGACCAATGCGACCACTTTTCTCTAATGGAACTCTTAAAGAAAAACAGAWACAGGCCATCCAAGCAACAATACGATCACACAATGGAGAAATATAGATCACTTCAACACCGACCAGTAACAATCGAAGAACTTTTACGATCTTTGGTGAGAAGGTATCGATTACCACGACATAGACAACAAGTGAATAATCCAGCAACTAGAGATAACATCAACTACCGTTACAACAGTATCAGAGAGCCGTTGAGCTATCGATTTCGCAAYGAAGTAAATTCAAATGCTTATCGATACCACAATATTCGAGTCCCGAATTATTATCGATTTCAAAATGAGGGCACTTACTATGACMCCTCAGAAAAAAAGAAATCGATAATACCTCGAAARATCCAAACGAGGATAAACCCGATCACAAAGAGGAAGCAGTACATTTTGGAAGTATAATGRATAGCCATYGATAAACTGTTTTAGTTGTTAACAATAATCAAGGACCGAATGCCGAACTAAACATCAATTATTCAATTCGCCGAAAGCGAACTTAAATCGATCGAAAGAAACTGCTAACATAATGAGGTAAGAATGTATTTCCTGTAGGGAATGAATGGGTTTACAATAAACTGCGACCGCAATTAATTTATCATACATTGAAAAAAAAATCAAAAAAATCACTAAAACGGAATCAAGCAGTTTAAATTACTGTGCAAACTTATTTTAGAAAAGGTGACCGGATRYAATGGCGAATGTTACTTGTCTAACAGCAATTGCACGACCGAAGGTAGCCTTGGGCTTAACATCGGTTGTATTTAGTCTACATTTCTATGCAAGGTGAATCCAACAAGTTAAATTTAGGTTGTCAAATTAATCATAGTGCATTTCGGTCGTATAATCTCCGTTTGACAATCACCGTTCACCRTTCTCCTGACAGCGTTTTTGAAATAGGTGTATGTAGTGTATGTCAACCAGCCAGAGTTGTGTATGACATTCTCATTCTGTTCTGGTTCGTTTGACAAACACCATTAGTCAGAATAGATATTATTCACGTTGATTATCATCACGGTAAAACTATGCATACTCTCGAAATGAAATGCGTCCAAAATTGAAAAAGTTTGGTGATCAATATAGTTAGCACTATATTTTAAATACTAATGCTAAATCTAAATTTTAAACATGACAACCGATGCCTTTATGATACGAACAACCAATAATATGATATGTTAATTAGCTTAAGGGGGCTCTTGAAGACCTAYAGACAAACTCGTTCACAATACAATTTAACACCTCCGAGGTGTACAACACAAACACCTCTACATCACCGATACTTCTATGTCACAGACACCTCTATATGACAGACACCTCTACAACACAGACACCTCTACATCACAGACACCTCTA